TGAGGGGCTGCCTGTCTCACTGCCTGTGTGCGTCAGTCTGAGGGGCTGCCTGTCTCACTGCCTGTGTGCATCAGTCTGAGGGGCTGCCTGTCTCACTTCCTGTGTCCGTCAGTCTGAGGGTCTATCTGTCTCTCTGCCTGTGTGCGTCAGTCTGAGGGGCTGCCTGTCTCACTGCCGGTCTGGCTGTTTGCCCCTCAGGTCCTGGAGTACGTGGGCAAGGGGAAGAGTATAATGGATGTGGGACTGGCCCAGGCTCGCTATCCTCTCAGCACCCGCAGCCATTATTTTGAGGTGGAGATTGCGGATGCAGGGGAGAAGTGCTACATCGCCCTGGGGCTGGCTCGGCGGGTGAGTGCCTGTTATCGTCATCCTTATCCTTGTTGCCGTCTCTCCTAAGATAGTCTCTCAGCCCACATTTTTACCTCTCTCTCGTCACTCCGAAAGTTTGACGGTTTAAATTCTTCAAATAGCTCTGCCGAACATGAGACCAGTGTTTTCCTGAGGCTCCTGCAAGAATGCAGCACTTGGAAGTACAAAATAAGGTTCTAACCAGCTGAGCGCTTGGCTGTCATTTGAGAAAACAGTGGTAGGTCTCTGGTAAGATAGATCATCATATGTAATTTGAGTTAATTAAATACAAGCAAGAATATCTGATGTCTGTTTTTTGGTATCTGAGAAAACACAATTGTTGAAATTTGCATCTGCGGCATTGATCTGTATCAGCTTTCAACCTTTCCTGACCTTCAGCTTTTGACAAAGCCAACCCGGTGGATGAAACTAGGACCCACAGGTACAACTGGGATAGTAGTCCTCGAGTGTGTTGAGGGCAAAGAGGAGACGCATACGCATACACAAAGGATGGCGGGGGTCTGGAACAGTGCCCCCTTGTGTTATTGAAGCTGGTTTGCTCAGATCCTGCAGGAAACAGCTGGCTTGTTACTGGCCAGTAAATGAGTTGTCCAGCCTCAGATGACCCCCCTCGTGTTAGTATCCTTCCTTACAGTGCAAAGACTTGTGCACACGCTGTCTGGACCCAGCTTCCAGTTTGCCTGCATGTTTGAGCTAAGTGAAACAACATGTGTGAGGAGCTCTGCGATCGGGACCCCTCTGCTCCGATAGCTGCCTGCTTTGATGTTCCGCAGTTGTCTATTATTATCAACGCCCCAAGCCAAGTCTGCTTACTCACTTTTTCCATTTTAAGTTATGAATGGTCCAGCCCGTAAAAAACAATTAAAGAAATATTTGCAGGTCCAATTTGGAACCCTAATTTCTTTTTCCAAAGAATGCACACATGCGGTTTCCATTTGGATGTCAGCACTCACCGTATGGCAGGACACATGCACACGCACAGCGCGGCTGTGTGAGGCGCCGCATCGCGGCCCGTGCCCAATTCAAGCCAGCTGAGCCGGGAGAGGAGCACTGGCGGCTGTCACGCACGGCACAGACGCCCCGCCTGCGATCCGACCTTCCTCTTTTCCACACCGTTTCCTGGGAGCACCGGCTTCTTTCTGTGCTTTTGTGGGTAACCAGGTGGTTGTGAAGCCGGGGGGGCATGCAGAGTCAAGGAAGAGGCAATGTGTATCGTGGAGAGCTCTCCAAACTGCCTTCTTGAAAAGCAACCCTAACAGCTCATTTGCTTGCCCCAGGGTTTCTGACCTCTGACCTGTGTGCCATTTACCTGTCATACAGGTGCTCAACCACCCCCAGCCTGATCTGACCAGATCTTGTAAACGGGGCCCAGTCCCTGCTGGGATGAGAGACCCCTGTAAGACACATCAGATTGCTGCTGGAAGTGGTGGCGAAGGCCAGTAGGTGTCGCTCCTTGTTCCCTCTTTCTGGATCTTGGCCTTTTCTTTGTTTGCAGCTCTCGAAAAGCTGACATTTTTGTGTCATTTTAGTTCCAGGACTGCAAACAATTCAGAAAGGTCTAGGTAGTACCTCATCAGTTGAATTTTGGGGTCCAGTTAAATAATGGGGAGCTCAGGTGGAAGAAAACATAGCAGCCGCTGCTGACATCGCTTAGAAAGGCCTTTAACCTGACAAACACTTTGGGGTCTGCGCCGTGTGAATGTAAGGGACCGGTGACTGGTCAGACGGGACATTGTTTCATTGCTGGGATTCCTGGAAAAGAAGAGGGGTCATTATGGTTTCTCTGCCACTGCAGAGCTCAGATTCATCCATCTCCAAGCTCCTGTTGGCATGTGACTGGGCCGCGGAACAGGCTGTTCTGTTTGCTGCTGCTGCTGTGGTTTTCTTCCCCAGAGGTGTTACGGTAAAGACAGAATTGGTAATTAAAAAGATTTTTCAGTTGATTACTGTTTATGTGCGCTGTGTGCGCAGTTCCACCCGGCATCACGCTGCTTTAGAGACAGCAGAGGGCACAGGGAGAGGGACCTGATAATTGCGCAGAATTGGAAGAATGTGTGCTAACGGCAGCTCTCTGTCAGGAGTCCAGGAGATGCAGCACCAGGGTGAAATTACTCCCTGTTCTCAAACCTCATACGCGAGGTGTGTGGACAGAAGGAAATCGCAGCATGTTTTAGACTGTGCGATAAATCTGTGGCAGCTTCGATTAGTGCTGTCTCAAACTGGAGTGATCATGGAGTGCTTTGGTGCATCTAAAGAATCTGACATCTTCAAGTCCACTGCAGGACGGCAGTGGCGGGAGGCTGCAGGCACAGCTGTGTCAAGACTGTGACCCCGAGCACATAAGAGAAGATCCACGTGAGTGGAGGACATTCGACCCACGTTGCTCACGTAGTGGCTACTGCCCGACTGATCCGAAGATCTCCTGAAAACATCTTGAGGAATCTGTTTCAGCTTGCTCCAGCCTCTCACAACCCTTTCTGGAAAGACGTGTACCCCCACTTAACCCTAAACGCCCTCAAGTGCAGTGCAGTGGGGCAGTGTGAGCGTGCAGCACAGCTGTGTCCTTAATGTCCGCTCGCGTCCTCAGGTCTGTGTTTCACAATTGGGTCTAAAGCTGTCCTGTGGGATGACTTTGTCCTCACCTTTTAGGATCTGAAACTCCTGATCCTTGTCCCTTACAGTCACTTCAGTTCAGGACTTAAAGAGATTTGGTTATTTTTGACTTGTGTGTGAAAGGCACTTAGAATGCCCTAGAGCGCTTGCGAGCAGGGGTGCCCGTGGCCGTTCACGGGGGGACTCAGCCTGCCTTACTGGTGGAGTCACTCTGCGCCCCCGTCTGCTCTGTCTGAGGCTCTGTGTTTTGCCACAGTGTAATTTCTCTGCTCGTTTTCAGGTGGCAGCAGTTCAACAGACACAGGCTCGGGCTGCTTCCCTTTGCACTGTTGTATTGCTTCATTGTTTTATTTAACAATGTAAAGTGATCGTTTAAATACGCAGGTTTATCATACTTTGTAAATGTTACAAAATAAGATGCCATAAAACTTTACTTCTGCATTTTTTAGTTTTTTTTTGCCTAAACACGTTTGATCACGTTTCCAGGATACAGTTGGACTTCTGTTGCAGGCACATGGTAGCACAGTTTATGCTAAATGTCTTGTAACTGCATTTGCCAGATTCACCCTTTTCCCCTGTGTAATTCCATGAGATCTGAAGGGGATTCATGTTAGAACTTTGCACAGGGCCATCCAAGCATTTGTAACACTCCCACTTCCTCCTTGGGCTCTAAAGACCCCTTTAACCGCATGAGCAGTGTGTTTCAGCTCCTGGCCGTGTGTTATTTCGCTGAAAACTCATTGTCCCTAAAAGAAACCCTGCAGGATTAATCCATCCCTAGCAGATAAGTGCTGAGGTGTGCTCTGGGACCGCTTCCTCCCTGGAGACAGGGCCGGGAGAGTTGCTAGGACCCAAGCGAACATACAAAGCCACGATGGTGGCCGGGGCGTGAGCGCTCGAGGCTGATGCAGTGGCTCTTATCTGCGTCTGCTTTCCTGTTCGCCTCTCCCACCTTGCCGGTGCTCCCCGTGGCTGGAGATTCACGGTCTCGATGCGACACCCTGCTGCAGGAGCTGTGGGCAGCCCGCAGGCTCCCAGCTGTGCTCACGTCAGCACGCGCCCTGCTGTCCGGCTTTTCTCATCCTCTCTGCAACACGGCAGTTGGCTGTGTGGGTGTACTTGTTGCAGAGCTGCCATTGCGCAGGAGCACGTTGTGTTTCCAGCATCAGTCGGTAATTGCCTTTCAGGGGACCTAAATCCGACACTTGTAGCTTGAATCATGGGCTGCCTGGTGGTTGGCACTACTGCCCCACAGCTCCAGGGCCCTGGGTCCCTGGTTTCCTCTCTGTAGGCATGCAGCCTTGTCTGATTGACACCTCTGGCTTTATGCCCATGATAAAAGATTCTGGGTTTGCCATCTCTTTGCTTGGCAGTTAGTGGCAGGCCTTTGGTGCATCTCTGGCTGTGAGACTCCACAGATCTGCAGGCGTGGGATATATGATTGTCTGATCTCTTCATACAGCACCACAGTGCTGTAGAATCACAGTGCCCTGTGACTGTTGTTGGGGTTTTTTGCAACTTGTGGAAGCAGGACGTAAACCACTGTGCACCTGAATGTCAGGAGCTTTGAATTCTGAGAAAAGACTGGCTGCAGGCAAGCTGTGTCTGCCCTGTTCTGGCTGCTCCTAGTTCAGTGACCCCAAGTGTGAGATGGAAGCCCAGCTAGGACCCCAGGGGAGCAGTGGGATCACTTTTGCTTTCCGTGCGGCCCCTGAGCGCATGTGGACTTTGCCAGCGGGTGGAAATGCGGGTTTGCTCGAGTCACAGAGATAACAGCGCCTGCAGGATCAGACAGGGCTCCCCCACGGCCAGGAGGCACCTCCTCCTGCGCACTTTCTGGGAAACGGGGCTGCTTCGGAGCTACGGCTTTTAATCCTGAGACAAACGCCTTTTCCATTTGTTTATTCAGTCGGCCGCTCGCTCATTCTCTAGCAGCTTTTGTTGATGTGGGCTTGCAGCTGATTCAGTGTGTGACCCAAAAGAGGAAAACAAGCAAGAAGGAAGCGCCTGAGTGCTCTCCTTCTGCTCTGAATGAACCGTCTGTAATTTAGCTCTCTGAGATGATGACTAACCCCTCCCCCGCCCCCCAGCCAATTAAGGCAAAATAAACAGAGTCGGGATTCTGAATGGGATCTTGAGCAAACCGCTGCAGGCGCCTTCAATCAGCCATTGCCTTTTCGCTGCCCACTCATCTGCAATTAGCAGTTTCTTCATTGGTAGAATGAGTTCCGGATGTCAGAGCGGTGGAGCACCGCAATCATTCCTCAAACCGAGAGATGCTGAAAAACAGGGAGAGGAAGGCCCAGAAACTGAAGAAAATTACAGAGCAAAGGATGCTGATAAATTTCGGTATGAAACGTGATGCGGTGAACGTATTACGGACAATTGGTGTGACCTCCCTGAGCACTGACACAATTCTGGCTGACGCTCAGACCTGATCAGCCTCTGGACAGGCCGCTGTGGGGCGTTCTGCCAGGTTGACCAGTCTTCTATTGATGGTATTAATGCAATGGTCTCACCAATGTTCTGTTGGACTGTGTGTTCATGAACATTGATTTCTTGCATTTCTTTTATTGTTAGTCCCGCAGCTGTGTGGTCTGGGACTTTGTTGATATATTGCTGTGTAGTAAGGTAGCCCTCTGTCTGCACCTGCACCTGTGGTATTAAAGGAGATTCCTGTCCACGTTGTCATGTTTCCGCCACCCCACCAAACAGCTCACACAACAGAGCAGTAAGGGCAATGCCCCTCCCACACTCTCATCCATCTGCCTGTACATGAAACACCCCAGCTCAGCTCTTCTCTGATCCTCAGACATGCATTATCTGTCAACGTTGCCCTTGAACAGTTTCCATGCAGATAATTTCCGGGTAGTCGGTGAGCTACAGTCACTCCTGATGCTCTGAAAGCATTGCCCAGGCATTTCTCATCCAGCAGCCGCTACCTCCTGGGAAGTGAGATGGCCGTGCTGAGATTCATCAAGGGGCAGTGCCCCGTTGAGCCTGAAGAAAAGGTGTGGGGCAGCATGTTTTATCACGCAGAGCAGAAAGTCTGTCTTAAACGTGCTCTTCTTAGCACAAATCATAACCGCTCGTGCAAAGACTCACATGGCTTCGCTGGTGCTGTGACCTTGCAATGACACTGCACTCTTTAATGTGCTTTTAGTTCATGGCTGGTGTGCAGAGTAGTGGAACAGGAGAAACCCTGCCCGACTCAGTTACCCTTTTCTGCTGCCTTTCTGCTGGCAAACTCCTAGAGGTGCTCCACGCTTTTCAGTAGCGAGTGGGGTATCGGACAAAAGAATGATAGGATACTGGGTCTTTAAAAAAGAATTACCTGTTGACACTGCGCTGTAAGCCCTGCCAGAGGTTGCACAATGCAATATGTTAAACCTGAGCTCCTAGTATTAACTCGTTTCACATAATTGGTTTTTTCATGCCCTCAGGTAAGATATTTTGTAGAACAGCGGAGCGCATTAGAGGGTGGTTATTTCATAACTGTTTATTTTTTTTAAGCGAGGTAGGTCTGTGGTTGCACTGGGGTTGTAAATCAGTCAAAATGGCAGTTCCGAGGTTACCCCCCTCTAATTAGATACAGAGCAAATCAAAAAGCTTTCATCTGGGGGGGGTGAGAGGGTTGATCTGTGTTTCCTTTCTGTTGCGAGAAACTGCGTCATTCCAGGTTGTTTTGGAAAAAAGAAAAAATCAGCTTTTGAAACAGAAAGCAGTAAGTGGCTGGGTTAGACTTTCCTAGGGCTAATTTGTCTTGGCCTCCTTCCTGTAGGGCCTGAGCAGTGATACTGAAGAAGAGCTGTGAGCCACTGTCTCACTATTCAGTTCACTGACCTGTATCTCTGTCGATATCCTTCTGTTCACTGAGAGACGCCTGTAGCTCTGTCAGTATCTTTCTGTACACTGAGAGACGCCTGTAGCTCTGTCAGTATCCTTCTGTCCAGTGAGACGCCTGTACAGTATCTGTCAGTATCCTTGTGTACACTGAGGTGGCTGTATTTCTGTCAATATCCTCCCGTCCTCTGAGAGATGCCTGTAGCTCTGTCAGTATCCTTCTGTACACTGAGAGACACCTGTAGTTCTGTCAGTATCTTTCTGTCCAGTGAGACGCCTGTACATTATCTGTCAGTATTCTTGTGTACACTGAGGTGGCTGTATTTCTGTCAATATCCTCCCGTCCTCTGAGAGATGCCTGTAGCTCTGTCAGTTATCCTTCTGTCCTCTGAGAGAGGCCTGTCTTTTTGTCATGAATAGCTGTTCGATTTTCCCCATTCTAAAGCCTGAATCTATTCTTAAGAGTGTTTTGTGCAAGACAGTAAAAAAAAAATGCCAGAGTGAAACATGAGTGAGGACGAGTTCACACCAGAGAGTTTAATTAAAATGGTAGGTGTGAGTTTCAGGATTACGACATGTTTTTAGCTCATCAACCCTGAGTCATTCCGATCTGATCAGATTGCAGCCAGCTGTTTGGTCTGGTGTTGCCGGGCGAGGCTACACTGTTCTACCACGTAAGCCGAGAAAGGTATGGCTGTCCTTGCAGTGTGGCAGCAGTCCTCCCTCGTTCGTGTTCTGGGTCACAAGAGGAAGACGAAGGAGATGAAGGTGTTTAAAGAACAGCATGTGCAGTGTTTCCTGTTTCTTTCCAGATCTGCTCTTCTGTGCATAACCCAGTTCCCTCCTGAACTACCCTATTCACTGAAGCGCTGTCTTTTCCACTGTTGTAAAGAGCTTATTTCTTCTGTGCCTCCCTCTTAAGTGGATTTGAAGGGTTGAATAGGATTTGGAATAAGAATTTGCGTAGGAGCCGAGAATGGGAAATAGCCACAACAAGTTAAGAGATTGATTGTGAATTCTGTGTTGTGTTATTATATGCCCGAGCCCCCAGGCTATTTGATGTGTCAGTTCATTCGTTGTGCATGAATTCCTTGTGTGTGTTTTTCTAACCAGATTTAAAAATATCTTTTTCTTTTCATTTGCAGGACTATCCCAAAAACCGCCACCCTGGGTGGAGCCGTGGATCAGTGGCCTACCACGCAGGTGAGTGTGTTCGTCTGTGCAGAGTGAGGTTGGCACACGCTGCCATGGTTGGTTCGCTGCCACGGCAGGACAGTTAGGCCCAGATCAGACTCTGTCCTGACATGAACTGGAGTGTGATTCCTGCAGGGTGTTCTCTGTGGCTGGACAGTTAGGCCCAGGTCAGGTTCTGTCCTGACATGAACTCGAGTGTGATTCCTGCAGGGTCTTCTCTGTGGCTGGACAGTTAGGCCCAGGTCAGGCTCTGTCCTGACATGAACTGGAGTGTGATTCATGCAGGGTAATCTCTGTGGCTGGACAGTTAGGCCCAGGTCAGGTTCTGTCCTGACATGAACTGGAGTGTGATTCCTGCAGGGTGTTCTCTGTGGCAGGACAGTTAGGCCCAGCTCAGACTCTGTCCTGACATGAACTCGAGTGTGATTCCTGCAGGGTGTTCTCTGTGGCTGGACAGTTAGGCCCAGATCAGGCTCTGTCCTGACATAAACTCGAGTGTAATTCCTGCAGGGTGTTCTCTGTGACTGGACAGTTAGGCCCAGGTCAGGCTCTGTCCTGACATGAACTCAAGTGTGATTCCTGCAGGGTGTTCTCTGTGGCTGGACAGTAAGGCCCAGATGAGGCTCTGTCCTGACATGAGATGGAGTGTGATTCCTGCAGGGTCTTCTCTGTGGCTGGACAGTTAGGCCCAGGTCAGGCTCTGTCCTGACTTGAACTGGAGTGTGATTCCTGTAGGGTGTTCTCTATGGCTGGACCGTAGGGCGCAGAATGTTCTCTGCTCTTTGTTTCATCGCCAAATGCTAGACTTTTCCTTGGTGTTCTTTGTGCTTCCTTTCCCAATGTTGTGTGTCCCATGTTTTGATGGTTATCGCTCATCTCTCACTGATGCTGTTTTCCTGGTCTTGTATCCCAGCGTGTCAGTACAGGGGTGTAGACAAAAACAGAGCACGTCCCTGTTGGAGCGCAAGAGCCCCAGAAAGAATCCTCTGTTTATAACCTATTTTTCTGCATCTGAAATTCTTTTGTGGATAACACTGACATATCTGGCGTTTCCATCAGTGACTCACTCTCTATAATCTTTACTAAATTTACCTGGAGCGTAACATGCTTTTTTAAGATCTTCAGATGCAACTTTTTGGGGGGTTTTCAGGAACCAGGGTTTATTTTTGTAACCTGGGCGTGCACATCGCAGCCCAGCCTGGCCCTGTGCCGCGTGACGGCACGTCGCTCACAAATGATGGTGAACGCCAAACACAAACACTGCCTTATCGTGAGATTGCCGCTTGCTATCAGTGTAGCTGCCAAGCCCTTTCTGTTTTTAATTTATATAAGAGAGGCAAATCGGTGCACTGGCCCTTCTGGTTTTTAGCCCTGATCCTCCCGCTCCAGAGCTCTGTTTCTGTCAGCAGGGGACACCTGTCCCTCAGCAGCTCACACTGGCCTTCCAGAAAGAAATCAAGCCCTTTGTGTTCGACACCCAGTGATGTGCGCCTGTGAGCAAGACAGGCCTTCTGCTTTCGAGCAGATCCAGTGCGTTTTATTTCTAACGCTCTGGCAGCCAGACAAGACAAACTGGCCTCTCTCTCATCTCTGTCCTGTTTCTCCTTCCTGTGCTGTTCCCTCTCTCTCTCTCTCTCTCGCCACTCTCCGGGGCTCCGCACTGCTCCCACGTTTCCAGCGAGCTCCTCCAGGCCCGCAGTGTTGTGACAGAAGGGCTCCCTCCCTCCCTGCCCCGCCAGATTGTTTAAACAGGCTCCTCGGCCTGCGCTGGGTCCCATGACAACCCCACAAATATTTACCAGCAGCGTGATGCAGGGAGTCTTGTCTTCAGGGTACCTCTTTTCTGTTTTCAAACAAAAATCGCTGTTCTCTTGGCATTCGATGACATTCCAGTGCTTTCGAACCTGTGTTTTACAAGGGAGGCTGGACTGTTAAACACCTCTGCAAGGTCGCTGTGACCAGGTGGGCCGCGCGCGAGCATGGCTCAGTCTGCTCGTCAGTTGAACCGCAGTCTGCGATTTGTTTTCTTATCCCCCACCCCCCGGCCCAGTCAACTCTCCTGCGTCTGCTTTTCCTAAGAACACCCTACCTGCCCGAAAGGGGCTGTCTTGACATGGAGGTAGCAAGTGCGTGGGGCTGAGCACGTGACACTGCAGAACAGGATCCGAGAGCCTCAGCCTCCTGTGGCGTGTAGGGCCTGTTAGGAGGGGAGGTCAGGACAGGGGTCATGAACTGGGCGCTGGGAGGCCTCAGAGGCAGGAGATCCAGACAAACAGGAAACTAAATGACTTCATGAAAAGAGGGACGTCGTTTTCGTTGCAATGCAAATTGTGTGTTTTGTTTTACCCCCCCCCCCAATTTGTGTATTTTGACTTGACTCCATCGATGACACAGACCTGATGCAGGCTGTGAGACAAAGCTTCGGGGGCCCTTTTCTTGGGATTGTTTGACCACAACTGACCTCCGCCTGCGATCTTGCGGTGTGAAGGGGGCCGCGGCGCTCAGCCACTGTGCCCGGTCGTCTCCGTGTGCCAGTGCTCCATGGCGGGGCCAGTTTGGCAGGGAAAGGAAGCGAGTGAATGGGGTCCCAGCGCCCTGCATTGTGAACCCGGTCTCTGTCAGTCTTTCCCACACATAACTCACCCTGACCGATGTGCGTCTGGAACTCCCCCGACACTCTCGCTCTCAATCTCTCTCTCTCTCAGATGATGGGAAGATTTTCCATGGCAGCGGAGTGGGCGACCCCTTTGGCCCGCGCTGCTTCGAAGGGGACGTCATGGGCTGTGGAATCATGTTCCCCAGGGATTATATTCTGGACAGCGAAGGTATTCCATTGTGATACAGCGGGAGAGGGGACCATGGGGGGGGGCAGTCTGCATGTGGGGATGGGACGGACAGAATTCAGCATGAGGTGAAATGAAATGACCCAACAAAATTAGACAGGTCCTGACCTCTGCACTTGCCTGTATACAGCTGTGGATAGCTTTGTGTCTGATGATGCCAAAACTAGCAGGGTGCTTTTTCTGCTGTACACGCCTTATAGAGGACTGGCCACCTTCCTCTCACTACAGAGAGGATGACGCATGCAATAAAGCCATTCTGTCCACAGGCACCTCCTACTGGCGAGCTTAAATAACAAAAATAAATAAGGTTACATACAATGTGAAGAATGTATTGCATAAGAACTAAATAGAAGGGTTAATTGGATTACTGTGAGATTATGAAGTGCAAAGAACATGTTAGAGCAGTGAGCCCATTAGAGCAATAAACTTACTGGAGCAGTGAGCCCATTAGAGCAATAAACTTATTGGAGCAGTGAGCCCATTGGATCAATGAACCTGCCGGAGCAGTGAGCCCATTGGATCAATGAACTTGCCGGAGCAGTGAGCCCATTGGATCAATGAACTTGCCGGAGCAGTGAGCCCATTGGATCAATTAACGTGCTGAAGCAGTGAGCTCCTTGGATCAATGAACTTGCTGGAGCAGTCAGCCCATTGGATCAATGAACTTGCTGGAGCAGTGAGC